TATTATGTTTAATTTGCATTAAATGTTTAACATATCATTTTTTCGTTGATTGAAATACTCACCTACATTTATATCTATTTTAAACAACATTTTAATACACACTAATAAGTATAACTCGTACCTAAGAAAATAAACAATACATTAATGTCACTTGAAGCCTTAAATAGAAGTGTAGGAAAAACTCAATTTTCATGTATTTTTAAAATAACAAATTATTTAGTATTAAAAATAATTTTAACTCACTTGATTAAATATGAAAAAGAAAACAATGTTATATACATTTTTATTTTAAATGAGTTAGTAACATATTTTTTTTGTTTGATTTGAAGTGTCTTTATCTTTGTCTTTAAACATAATAATATATTTATTATTATTTGATGATTTATATATATATATATATATATATATTTATTATATTTTTAAGAAATTAAAATTGAGAAATGAAGTTACAGAGATACTCTGAAATTAGATAAAATAAGTTAATTTACTATTTTCATATCAAAAATATTACATAAAATACGTTGCAATACGTTTTTTATTTATTTACAATAGTTAATAGTATAATTATTATAAGCGCTATAAAATCGGATAGGGTTATTTAAATGTCTATATAATTCAATAATGTTTATGTTGCAAAAATGTATAGATATAAATTGATAATTTTATTTCATATTTTAATGTATTAAAGTATAATTTTAAATGGTTCTCTAGTTAAATTAAATACAGGAACATTAAGATTAAATTTTACAACATAATTGGGATAACAGTAAATTCTTATATAATTTTCACAGTTATTGTTATGCAGAATTTAAATATATTTGAGTTCTATAGATAATAAATAAAGTATATATTTATATTAAATTATTAAAATAATTATTAACAAGGTACTGACTTTTTATCGGAGTGATATAATTAATTATTGAATTTAAATAATAATATATTATGAACAAAAAAGTATTATTCACAGTTAATACTGTTGGTACTTAATCATTATCCAAGTTAATTAACCCTTAGTTTATCGCCTGCATTACTTGAGATTGTTTTACTTTTGCATTATTAGTAATTCTCAAACTAGGTAAATTGCTTATTTTTTTATTTTTTTTTCAACTCGTTAAGTTAGTGTAAGTTAAATAAAAGTTAAAAGTTACTTTTTCAATTTTAATTTGTAAAAGTTACAAGTCAAATAGAATAAAATAACTTAATTTAATTAATTTTTTTTTTTTTACTGAATATCTATAATTCACGTCAAAGCACAATAAATATATTTGACAAAAATATAAACAAAAAGAAAATAATGTATAGTAAAAGAATATATATATATATATATATATAGGAATTAATAACAGAAAAGGAGGTCATTCAAAAATAGACCCAACAAAGTATTAACAGAGGTCATTAATTTTTTAAGAGATCAGGACACCAACGTGGTTATAGGTTAAGTATGGCAACGTCTCATTAAACTTCAAACTGAATTATCTGGTTAAGTTATATTTTTGAGAGATTTGCAATTTATATGTTTTTTAAAATTTATATTTTTATAGATTTTTTTTAAATATATATTTAAATATTTATATTATTTTTTTTTTAATACGCAAATAGTTAACTCAATACGTCGATAGTTTATGCTATTTAGAATTTACAGCATACAATAACAATTAGAAATAATAATAAGTACAGAACAAAATATATTTAAAATCTATTAGGTCTATATTAAAAAAAAACTAATTTATCAATACTATAAAATTAATTACTGATAAGTAATTGCATTTATGAAACGACAAATTTTAAATCGTTAAGTAAGAAGTTTCTTTAAAATAAAACAATTCGTCATGAAACTTAGTTAAAAGTAACTTAACTGTAACTTTTTAACTTTTTAATGCTCAGCTATGATAATTCTAATTACAGAACATAATATATGAATACAAAATAAAGTTGATGGACATCTCTAAAAGTGAACAGATGTAAACGTACTAAGTGATTAAAATACTTGAATATATGTATATATATATATATATATATATATATATTATTATTCAAGTTCGATCAAGTTCAAAGTCTTTCGAAGAAGTTTTTTATTTTGCAATTCTAATATACCCTAGAGATATTTCTGAAAGTGTTTGTCTTAAATAATGTTTGTGAATAAGTTGCATTTCAACCATAAACTTGATATATATATATTTATATACTTTATATGAATGTGTACCCGTAGCATGTCAGGATTAATACATTTAGTATAGTTCCTGAATGTCACTGATGTTAAGTCAATTTTCTGATTACTTAATCTCCAATTATAGGGTGGCTACAAAAATTTAATCAGTATTGGCCTAATAACACTCAGTTACAATATTTCTAAATCTAATCTACAAGATTATTTTCGTCAAGATCATAACAAAAATCAATATCCATAAGTAATCTCAGTCATAGTTATAAGGTAGTTTTATTTGAGTATTTACAATACCACCAATACCTAAAAGTTAAGAGCACCGAATTAAACTGATAGTCGAGTTTAAAACAAAAGTTACTTTTAAATCCAGACATATTTTGGCGTTGTAACACTCTCACGATCACGGTTGTCATATGTTGCATTACATTCAGCGTTAGTGTAGAAAAGATAATATACAGTTATTTTGAAATTCGTATGATATACTTTTTCAGGCTTATATACTTTAAACTAAATGAACAAAATTAATGTGAAACGTACAAAATAACGCATGTGCGTGTACACACACATATACATACGTTTAACGTGTTACTTTTAATTTTACAGTATTAATTATTAGTACATGTTATAACAATGAAATGCATTGTTAATGATACTCTGTCGACTGTAATTTGTAATCATTGCTTCTTTAATAGTTTTTGTGAAATAAGTTGGTCATTTGTTTTGTTCAAATCATAAATAAATAAAGTTGATAATGATCTGTAAGTTTAATATTGATAATATGATATACAACATACGTCATCATTACTACCTAGTCCAAGTCTATTTTATTGTATCTCTAGATATTATAGTAATTTCAAATATGTCACTTGAAGCTATGTTTATTTCATTATAGGTATTAATCATATACAAGTACGAGATGTCTTAATCGCATCAACCGTATGGTAGACACGTTATTATTTTAACCAATGTAAATTTATTTTGATTTCCAATTATTGACTATCCATTATAGGTATTGAAGTTTTGAAAAATTTAACACTGAAAATTAATGGTTGGTAAAAATACATGAATATTTTACTAGATAAAATGATTTATTTTATGCACGTGATTTTACCAAACTCGTATTTATAAGAACATATATGTATCAAAAATAGATGGCGCCGAATCGCGAGTGCGGATAACGACGATGCGGCAAATCGAAATCCGACCAGAAACGCTCTAATATATTAATATATTATTTAGCTAGCGAAGCGCTTCGACCACTAGTGAATATAAATATTATCGTCTCTGTTCATATAAATTATTATACATTATTTAATAGATACGTACGCGCCGGCATTTGCCTGCTCGGTTACATTTCGTATAGATCATTAAAGTTTAACGTTTATAAGAGCTCGAATGAGGGAGGGTCACAAGTGTAGTTACAGTCATCATAGCAATAAAATCGTAATATTCTATTGTACAGGTACCGTGGTACATACATACGACATAATTATACGCAACACGGTCGTAACTTAACCCTCTGCAGCGAGAACAGCCGCGTTGGAAAATCAAAGGGGAGCGTCCGGGTCTCGCCGTGTGCGCACTACAGTAACGTTATGACACGCATTCGCACTGGATTATGCGAAAATATACAATAATAATACGACGTGCGTCGAATTTCAACACCTCGAGTTCAAATGTGTGTATAAGGATGTTAATAATGACAGTGACGACGACGATAATAATAATATTATAATAATGTATTGCCATATTGTTATCGTCACGTCGCCGACTATCCGCGAAGTAAGTCAAGTTGGTCGGCTGCTGCTGTTGCCATATCTACCCGGTGGCAAACGGACGACGGAAATGCGTCAGAAGACATCCTAATTCGCCCTAAGTTCCGGTAAATTTATATAATATGTTTGCACACGCGTGCGCGTGTGTGTATTGGTTTTATACCCGCGCACAGACACTGCTGCGGCGCGCGTGCGAGGGTCGCGTGGAAAGCGAACAACACTGTACGAACGACGCCGCCGGCTCGAGCAAATTGAATTTTGCCGTGTTCGCCGAACGTAACTCTTCGAGTGTAATGACACGATGGCGGCGGGGGACTTTGAAGTGGCCTCGCGTGACTTAGACAACACCGAGTGACAGCTTTTCGTTAGAGCTTTTTTTCTTTCTTTCTCTTCTTGTTTTATCATTATTATTATTATTTTATTATTTCATTTTATTTTATTTTATTTTTTTCGCCACGTTTTGTCCTACGTTATCGAAAGACACTCTTTTGCTCTTTGTTTTTGTTTTATATACCACTCCATGAGGTATCGTGCTCAAATTGTTCTCTCTCTTTTTTTCCTCAGTAAAACGATCTGATTCAATAACGGATATTTAGAAAATTTCATACCACCTCTTATATAATTTAGAGTGAATAGAATTACCGGAGAAAAAGAAATCATTATTCGAACCATGTTATTGAATTAGTATGACATATATAGCTTATTTAACGTGTCTTCGTTTTGAGTATCATGATTCTATATACGACTGCGAATGCATTCTTATTTGAAAATTTTTTTCATTATTGGATTAATATATATTACAATTATTTACCAAGGTATTAAATGCGACTTGTATCATAATAATTAATTATAATTATTAAAAATTTAATTTTTATTCGCGTACCTATGATGCAATTAAGTATACACCATATATTATAATTCGTTGTATTTTTAACAATACACTAATCAAATTGCAAAAAATTTAAAATTTAATTAATAGGCACATTTTAATTGTCTAACACCTATGTAAATCGCTGGAGGATATGCTTTAATTTTTAATATAAATACAATTAAACGCTTACCTCCACATGCCTGCGGTGGCAACGGAAATATTAATGTCGTAGAGCTTTTCCTTCTGGCCACAGCACAACCTAACGATTGTGGCTTAAAACTGCGAAGTTGTTGCATGAAATCCGAGCACTCCATCAAAGCCACGTCGGCGAAGTGTAAATCACACAGTATGTGATTCTTGAACCTCCTGGCCCGTTTCTGGTTCGGGCCGGTAAGGTTCATTCCACACGAGTTGCAACGCAAACATTCTTCGTGGTAATGCTTGTTATCATACAACAAAGAAGTCTCTATTAAGAAAAACAAAAACAACCGAATTAAATTAAGACTTTAAGCCGATAAAACTCACACACATGATCATAAGTATTTAAAATAATGGCATAATATATTATGAGAGTATATGCATTGTTCTTTTTAATATTTTTCGCAACTCTACTCCATTTACGGAGGTATTTGGGCGGTCGTTTATACATACTAAAACGTAGCTTTATCATACGACAGTTGCATGACTATATTATTATAGTCATATTTTAACAATTATTATCTCTATTTATTTGCGTTAAATACATTTACACCTATATTGTACCTAACGTTAAAAATTAGATGATCGAATGAATTATTATCATAAGCTAGAGGTTCTATACTGAAATCAAATATATCATTACTAGGACTAGGGACTTTTAATAGTTTACATGTTTTTCAATAATCATTCAAGGACATAGTCAAGTAATATAGAGATTTGTTTCGTAGTACTAGAAGATTAAAGAAATCATTTTTATTTTGCATATTTTATATACTTTGCATATTTTGCATATTTAGCTTTTTTTTCCTCTAAGTTAAGTGTGAATATTTTATTATAATTGTATTTTAAGTACATATTTCACATATTTTATATACATTATACAATATTTAATATGAATTTTTTTAGAAATAGGAAAAAAATTAATTAAAATGGCTAAATATAAATTACTAAATAATCTATCTACTGTGTGTTTTTTCTACTTATTTGTGTATTGTGAAAAATATAAAATTGGTCAATAAAAAATATGTCGATTACGGTCAGTTAATGTAAATTTGTTCGTATCGTAATCGTTTTCGTTTTGCGTTTATGTAATGTTTTAGACTTTCTACTTTTTTTTTTTTTTTTTTATAAAAATTAAATTAAAAATAAATAAATTTGTAATGTTTGATTTTTCAAAAAAAATAAAATATTCTTAAAAGTATATATGATAATTTTTAAGGGCATAAATGTATGCATATTTTAAGGTTTTATAGAACATAATGAGTCAAGTCCATAGCTTTAGCCATTATGAATCATCACTTTATCAAGTGGCCATTATGCCTATTTTGTTTGTATAATATAAAGGTCGTAAAATAGTACTTAGTTTTTGAAATCATTAATATTAATACAATGTGTATCTTTATGTATAATTTAGTATACTTATATATTTATATTTTGTTATATTTATTTTACTTTAGTACATGATTAATTTTATTAATTTAATTTTTTCATATAAAAACACACATTTTTAAATACAATGCATAGCTACCTATTAAAAGTAATAATTAATTTATGGCTTCGTTTAAAAAGTGTTTACTATGAAAATAAAACATTTTTCCCTTTATTAATTTAGCGTTAACAATGAATATAATATGTAATACAATAAAAATCATGTTATTGTTATATTTTATATTTTTGAAATATTCAAATAATGGTTACAAAAGAATGAAAGAAGTTATATGTTTTTAATTACTAGGATATTGAAAAAATATATATAGTTTATGCTATGTATTATACACATATTTATTATATATTTTAAGCAGGAATTCAGTACAAACATTTATAGTATAATTTGTATGCTACTAAAAAAAATGTTTAATACATAATTTGTTTTATAAAAATAAGAATTTTTATTTAAGAACTGTTTAAACATAATTGTATAGTCTATATTCTCAATAAAATGTGTTTTGAATTACTACAATTACATGAATGTAAAAATAAAAAAAAAATGTAATTTATTATGTCAATAATAATGAATAATTACTATAAATGGTAATTTAATATTATGTACCAACTATTTATTTTCACATGTAAATAAGAGTTTGAGAATATTTCTGTGCTTATATAATTAAAAAAACATAGAAAATATGCGCAAGGTATCTAGAATGGTTCTAAAATAAGATTTCAAGTAATTTACAAAAAAAAAGAAATCCTCATATTTTTTTATTGAAATTGGTTAGAAAAATGATTGTTTTCAATTTGAATATAACCAATATGACGAATGAAACGTATATATTATTATTATATTATAATTATATGCACTAAAAAAAATTTTCACATGATTTTTAAATATAGTATTAATTTTATTCAACTATAATAATAAATTTATATTTAACGATATTACTACATTTTTTTAATCCAAATTTAATTTGATATAGATAGAATTATTTTATAAGTGTAATACTTTTCAATACAGTATTGTACGACCACGCATAGTAAATGCATAATAATTATGTATAATCGAATAATCGTAAATTGTCACTATGTGAGTACACACAAACGAACATTTCTCACTTTGTATCATAAAGCCGATCTAATAACATAAACCAAACTGTACACCCTTGATTCTAGACCCTTTAAAATACAACAATCTGTCCTAATTAGTTATATGAATTCTGTGACTTTCAAACGCATCCTACACAACGAATTTCGCCTAGAGCTGTCCTTTAATTTATTATAACAACGATACACGTTTTAACGACATTATAATAATATTCATTATTTAGTTTGGCTTTGTGAAATAATATGTCAATAACACGCGTTTATACATTTCTTGATAGGATTTTTGAAGTTTTAGAGGCCTTATTTTAGAATCACAAGATCTAAAGAATTTTAACTAAATTGCTGCGGACAAACAAAGTTTATTCGTTATCCGATGATGAAAAATATTCCACACCATTGTTCAATCAATATTAATGCAATAACATTTAGGATCAAAAAAGATTTCGAGCGACGACAATTTTATTTAACTTTTACAGTAATGAATGTATTAAATATTTTGAATTCAATAATAAATTATTACATATATATATAAAAAAAAAAAGATTAGGAATGGAGACTTTTTGTCAGCTATACTACTAATGATATCTTCAATATCATAATAAGTTAAAAGTGTAATATATTATCTATTAAAGATTGATTTTCATACTTCTAAAAATGTGGTTATAATATTATAGTAAATAATGATTTATATATTTTTGTGATAATAATCAATAATAATTATCTTGCCTAAAAACTCTCAATTATGTGAAGTATTTTTATCAACATTTCAAAAATTCAAAAACTTCAAATACCAATAAAAATAGCTTAAAATGCATGTAATATTTTGAAAATTTTATTGAGTATAATTTTATTAACATTTTACAAGATTTTTGATTGATACATTTTTTTTTAAATTACAATAAAATATCAAAAATCATTTTTGGCGAAATTATTATTTACGTTTGAATATTCAATATTGTCTAAATTTCAATTTCAATCACTTACAATAAATATTTATGAAAATATATTTTACTAAAACTTATATGCAACCTTTGTCGCAGTTCAAATTCAAATTTTCATGAATTTGAACTATAAAATAATTTACAAATATTCATACTTGTATGAATTTTGTACAAATTTGAATTTTAAATGTCCATTAAAAATATTTCAGCTATGTAATTACATTCTTTTTTTTTCATTATTGTTTTTCTTTGATCTTTTAAAAGTGAAAACTAAATCCAATTTCATACTAGAAATTACACTCATAATTTTAAATCGAAGCATTTTTTTCAAAAATTTTTCATGTATACAGACAAAAAGGAAGAACACATTGTTATAAAGTCAATAAATCCACTACCCTGCTCAGAACCTAAAATGTTTGTAAATCTGGTTTTGATATTTTAATTAATAATAAAAACAATAATAGTAAAACAAAAATGGAAAACAAAACGACGGCTGAAATCAGCAGGGTCATGATGTCATAATATACCATATGCTTGTAGATGTGATAGCGGGGTGGGATCGAATAATACACTCTGACCGACAAATCGGCAATGATGGATTCTATTATATGTGACAAATAAACACATTAAATTACGTGAGAGAAGAAAATTTATTATTTGATTTTTTATAGAATTTATTTTGTCTGTGTAGAAAATGTCATGGTATTCGAAGTGTTATCATACCGTTGGATGGTTAGCGGTTCAACCTATGTTTAGACATGTGTAAGTAATATTAAATTATAGTTGTATTATAGCACTCTTTATAAAACAGTTCTGTTATATTATAACGAATTGAGATCGATTAAAGCACTTGTTTGATCGTTTATCGATACCAATTATTAACAACATTATATTATGATATTAATATTTGATGTAATATTATATAATATTATTACTACGATGGCCTATAATATTATATTAATAGTATTATTATTATCATGAGATTGTGGAATACTTGATATACTGCGCAATAGGTGATAGTTAGCCGATAATCGTTCATGTATACACTGAACAACGATTGAAATACAAATTTATTAGATTCGATTGTAAACTAATTACATTTTACGGACAATTTAAGTATTGAAGTGAATGAAGAATAGGTAATCACTTTTTGATAAAATAACGTAAAAAAATAAAGCATTTTTGCAAAACTTGACGATTGATACTGTTTTGTACATAATACATTTATCGAAGATAACGATTATCGAACATAGCCCACAGATAATCACGTTTTCAAGCGTCTGTTAAGACAATGAAAAAAAAAAAAAACAGTGGCGTGTTCCTTTACACAATTTATTCTAATGTTATAATCTTACTTATAAATAGTACGCGATACGTAAATTACGAAAGATGATAATATATTTGAATTTGCCATTGCGAGATACTATAATATTTTAATACGACATCTTGTTTTTATTTTTATTTATTGTTTTTTTTGCAACAAATGTTTTTTTTCACCTTTTTTCTGTGTATGATTTTATGAGTAGTAGAGACCCTTTCAAAAGTTTGAATCTGGCAACAACCATTAATAAAGAAGTTGAGTAATTTCTTTAACAATGATCATCATTTGATTTAAATGTTCGGAACCATTTTTCGAGTGAATTTCAATATATTTTCGCCGCTCTCGAGTCCAATGAAACTTAAATATAGTATAATACTCGTATATGTTCCAACAGTGCGATGATTTGGTCTTCGAATATTTTTATTTCAAAACTAATATAGATATAAATAATTCACGGATGTATGC